CCCAAATCCAAAGCAACACTGGGCACCAAGTACCACCTTCTTAGGCACTAGATCAAGGGGACATTCCAAGTGAATGCTAGGTCAATAAACCCCCATCAAGTATTTTTGATCAATTTTTCGCAACACAACTTTTGAATGAGGCATTCGTACGCTATAAGATGGTCAGTACCAGTTTTAATGGGAAAAGATGGGGCAATAATTCATTAACCCATCTCTCACCTGGTAAGGGAATGGGTTTATGACGTTTGTTCAACAAGTCAAAAAACGCTTGACTCATCTGGGGAAGTCAGTGGGAGCAATCTTTTTTCCTCAACTGTGGGAAAAGATTGATCCCTGAAGGGATAGGGCTCCCCCGGGAGAAATGCACCAACCCACTGGTAGGTGACAACTCATCCCCTACCTGAACAGGGTAAGGATATGAACAAGGTAACAAAATTGGTTTTTCTCGAGACAACACTTGACCAGAATGTTTGCTAGGAAGAAATGGATCTTACTACCTTTCAACAAAGGATGTTCAACAAAAAGACCTTTTTACTTTGCAAGAATCAGCAAATAGGATGTTATCACCATCTGGGAAAACTAGGAAAAACAACAGACCCCTCAGTGAGGGCCTAGCGCGACAGAAAAGCTTTCTGCAGACGGCATGTGACATCAACAAGAGATGGCATTACAATTTCAAGTAATCGCCTTTTGACAAGGCGTCCCTGTGGAGAAACACTATTTTAACTAGCAACATTGCAGGATAGGCTCAGCGTCAAGGTAGTCAGAGCTCCCCCGGGCCTTAGGAACTGGCCATCTTTCAACCTGAATTGCAGGAACACAGACAGGGGTGACAGGATCACCCCTGCCCCAACCCTTGGGTAGCTACTGGAAAAAAGCACTGGCCTGTAAGGACTTAAACCGAACGTCGTACCTGGGGGCAGTAAGGCGATCTCGGATCCCAAAACTGGAACCCCCAAAAAAGGAGATCAAGTCATCAAATTTTGGGCATGCCATCGATAAGGGCCAAACACAATGGTAAGCTGCTGGAACGAATTTCCCCGTGGGTCACCAGGGAAAGTAATGTGGCGACACCAAAGGGAAGGAAGCATCCAAGTCTCCCCCTTGAAGAAAAGTTAGGAAGTCCGACCTCGGGCACGCAGGAAACCAGCTACTCCACTAAGGGAGGACACATGAGTCGGTTCTATGAGAAGGACATGTCGTAACTGCTTATCCCTAAACAAACTAGACCTGATAATATTGACTTGCGCACCAGAGTCCATGAACAAATGAACGAGCGCATTATGAACAGATGCTTGCACTATAGGGCCTATGGTTGCATTGGAAATTATGTGCAAACAAAAAGGTGGATTGTCATCAGCAAAGATTTGTTCCACTTCATCCCCAAAATCATCTACGTCAGAGACATGTGAAGCAACATCATCAGCAGGATTGTCATTCTCGAGACTGCTTAAGGTTTCAAAGGAATTGTGAACGGGGATGGTGTACTCATCATCACCTACTGTCACCATGGGACGGTTTGACTGGGGCGCTCAAATTCCCCCGAATTGGAAGAATGAGCCTGGTTCTGGTTTTTTGAGAACCACGACGTCTGTTTCCTCTCCTGGTTCTGCGGTTGGAACGGCCACGGAAAGACCTAGAGTACTGAATTCAGGTTGTAGAGAGCATTGCACTCAGATGTGTCATGTCCATGTATTCTATGATAAGTACAGTAGGGAAGATCTAACTGGTACTACTACTGAGATTGGATGGTAGGCTGAGGCAGGCTGACTAGCGTTCACTTCCACAGTCTGGCTTATTGACTGGCTTAATTGCAAAATCCGGGTCAACCCCTCGGAGACTGAAGCAATTAGCACACGAACTAAGCCAGGAAGCATGAAAAAACGGCTGCAACAGGCTTGCAGGCTTGACACAGGGTGGAGGTGAGTGAGGGTAAGCGGCTAGCTGGAGGTGGCAGACGGTTCACCTCTGACCTGCCGGCAACCCACAAACAGTCTTCTAACATCTGAAATACCCTTAAATCCACGCCCATACCGGTGCCACCAATTTGTCATGTGGGTTTTCGACAACGTGGATGGGGTAAGAATACTCACGTAGGCTGGTAGTAGGTATCATATAACGGAAAGCATGGGAAGCGCCAACAGCCGACCTGTCTCTCTCTACTCCCTTTCTTAGACTGACCCACAAGTGCCTACAGGGTGAGCGGTGTTTGAAATCATGCTATGGTCAGCAGCAACATAACAGTCAGTGATTCACAGAGACGGTTGGTAGTGAGTCATCTACTGGTACACTGGTTACTGGTAACTGGTACTACTACTGAGACCCTGTGATTCATCTGTGTCTTCAACTTCCAACTGTGTCCCCTTGTTACTGTGTTCCATCTCTAGAACATCCTGTCTTTGTCCACCTTGTCAATTCCTCTCAATATTTTGTATGCCATTATCATGTCCCCTCTATCTCTCATGTCCTCCAGTGTCGTCAGGTTGATATCCCTTAACCTCTCCTCGTAGGACATACCTCTTAGCTCTGGGACTAGTCTTGCTGCAAACCTCTGCACTTTCTCTAGTTTCTTTACGTGCTTGTCTAGGTGTGGGTTCTAAACTGGTGCCGCATACTCCAATATGGGCCTAACGTACACCGTGTGCAGAGTCCTGAACGATTCCTTATTAAGATATCGGAATATTGTTCTGAGGTTTGCTAGGCGCCCATATGCTGCAGCAGTTATTGGGTTGATGTGCGCTTCAGGAGATGTGCCTGGTGTTATACTCACCCCAAGATCTTTTTCCTTGAGTGAGGTTTGTAGTCTCTGGCCCCCTAGACTGTACTCCATCTGCGGTCTTCTTTGCCCTTCCCCAATCGTCATGACTTTGCACTTGGTGAGATTGAACTCCAGGAGCCAATTGCTGGACCAGGTCTGCAGCCTGTCCAGATCCCTTTGTAGTTCTGCCTGTGTGTGTGTGTGTGTGTGTGTGTGTGTGTGTACTCACCTAATTGTACTCACCTAATTGTGGTTGCAGGATTCGAGACTCAGCTCCTGGCCCCGCCTCTTCACCGACCACTACTAGGTCCTCTCTCCCCCTGCTCCATGAGCTTTATCACATCTCGTCTTAAAACTATGTATAGTTCCTGCCTTCAGTACATTGCTTGCCAGCTTATTCCACTTCCTAACTACTCTATGACTGAAGAAATACTTCCTAACATCCCTTTGACTCATCTGAGTCTTCAGCTTCCAATTGTGACCCCTAGTTTCTGTGTCCCATCTCTGGAACATCCTGTCTGTCCACCTTGTCTATTCCATGCAGTATTTTGTATGTCGTTATCATTTCTCCCCTGACCCTCCTGTCCTCCAGTGTTGTCAGACGACTGATTTCCCTTAACCTTTCTTCATAGGACATTCCCCTTAGTTCTGGAACTAGCCTTGTTGCAAACCTTTGCACTTTCTCTAATTTCTTGACGTGTTTGACCAGATGTGGGTTCCAGACTGGTGCTGCGTATTGTGTGTGTGTGTGTGTGTGTGTGTGTGTGTGTGTGTGTGTGTGTGTACTCACCTAATTGTACTCACCTAATTATGGTTGCAGAGGTCGAGACTCAGCCCCTGACCCCGCCTCTTCACTGATCGCCACTAGGTCCTCTCCCTCTCTGCTTCCTGAGCTTTGTCATACCTCTTCTTAAAACTATGTATGGTTCCTGCCTCCACTACTTCACTTGCTAGGCTATTCCACTTCCTGACGACTCTGTGACTGAAGAAATACTTCCTAACGTTCCTGAGACTCGTCTGAGTCTTCAGCTTCCAATTGTGACCCCTTGTTTCTTTGTCCCCTCTCTGGAACATCCTGTCTGTCCACCTTGTCTATTCCCCGCAGTATCTTGTATGTCGTTATCATGTCTCCCCTGACCCTTCTGTCCTCCAGTGTCGTCAGTCCGATTTCCCTCAGCCTTTCCTCGTACGACATTTCCCTGAGCTCTGGAACTAGCCTTGTTGCAAACCTTTGTACTTTCTCTAACTTCTTGGCGTGCTTGACCAGGTGTGGGTTCCAGACTGGTGCTGCATACTCCAGTATGGGTCTAACATACACAGTGTACAGTGTCTTGAACGATTCCTTGTGCCAGGCGCCTGTATGCTGCAGCAGTTATTTGGTTGATGTGTGCCTCCGGTGACGTGCTCGGTGTTATGGTCACCTCAAGATCTTTCTCCCTGAGTGAGGTCTGTAGTCTTTGTCCATCTAGCCTATACTCTGTCTGCGGTCTTCTTTGCCCCTCCCCAATCTTCATGACTTTGCATTTGGCAGGGTTGAATTCGAGAAGCCAGTTTCTGGACCACGTGTCCAGCCTGTCCAGGTCTCTTTGTAGTCCTGCCTCATCCTCATCCGATTTAATTCTTCTCATCAGCTTCTCATCATCTGCAAATAGGGACACTTCAGAGTCTATTCCTTCCATCATGCCGTTCACATATATCAAAAATAGCACTGGTCCTAGAACTGACCCCTGTGGGACCCCGCTCGTCACAGGCGCCCACTGTGATACCCCTCCACACACCATGACTCGTTGTTGCCTCCCTGTCAGGTATTCCCTGATCCATTGCAGTGCCCTCCCTGTTATATGCGCCTGATTCTCCAGCTTCTGCACTAATCTCTTGTGAGGATTGTGTCAAAGGCCTTCCTGCAGTCCAGGAAAATGCAATCAACCCACCCCTCTCTCTCGTGTCTTACTTATGTTACCTTGTCATAAAACTCCAGAAGGTTTGTGACACAGGATTTGCCTTCCATGAACCCATGCTGGTTTTCATTTATAATCTTGTTCCGTTCTAGGTGTACCACCACTCTCCTCCTGATAATCTTCTCCATGACTTTGCATACTATACATGTCAGAGGCACAGGTCTGTAGTTTAGTACCTCGTTTGTGTTTCCTTTCTTAAATATGGGGACTACTTTTGCTGTCTTCCATTTCTCAGGTAGTTGCCCAGTTTCAAGGGATGTGTTGAAGATTGTGGTTAGGGGCATACACAGCATCTCTGCTCCTTCTCTAAGGACCCATGGGGAGATGTTGTCTGGTCCCATCGCCTTTGAGGTATCAAGGTCACTTAGCAACTTCTGCACCTCCTCCTCGGTTGTTGGTATGTCATCCAACACTTGTTGGTATATTCCCTCTTGATGTTCCCTTCTGGACTGTCTTCCCAGAGCCCTTCCTGTCTCTACTGTAAAAACTTCCTTAAATCTCCTGTTTAGCTCCTCACATACCTCCTGATCATTTCTTGTGAGTTCTCCACCTTCTGTCCTCAGTCTGATCACCTGGTCTTTGACTGTTGTCTTCCTCCTGATGTGGCTATACAACAATTTAGGGTCAGTCTTGACTTTCGATGTTATGTTATTTTCATACTGTCGCTGGGCCTCCATCCTTACCTGTGATACTCGTTCCTGGCTCTGCGAATAATCTCCCTATTTTCATGTGTTCTCTGCCTTCTGTACTTTTTCCATTCTCTACTGCACTTTGTTTTAGCCTCCTTACACCGTAGGGTAAACCAGGGGCTCGTTCTGGTCTTCTCATTGTTTCTGTTGCCCTTGGGAATAAACCTTTCCACTGCCTCCTTGCATTTTGTTGTTACATATTCCATCACTGGCTTTCCTGCCAGTTCTCTGTCCCACAGAACCTCCTGCAGGAAATTCCTCAAACCTTTGTAGTCCCCTCTTTTATAGTCTGGCTTTTTCTATTCAACTCCTGTTACTCTCTCCACTTGTAACTCTACTATGTATTCAAAGCACAGAACCACGTGGTCACTAGCTCCTAGGGGACTCTCATATGTGATGTCCTCAATGTCTGAACTGCCCAGGGTGAACACAAGGTCCAATCTTGCTGGTTCATCCTCTCCTCTCACTCTGGTAGTATCCTTAACATGTTGGTGCATGAGGTTTTCCAGTACCACATCCAACATCTTGGCGTGTGTGTGTGTGTGTGTGTGGGGTGTGTGTGTGTGTGTGTGTGTGTGTGTGTGTGTGTGGTGAGTGTGTGTGTGAGTGTGTGTGTGTGTGTGTGTGTGTGTGTGTGTGTGTGCGTGTGTGTGTGTGTGTGTGTGTGTGTGTGTGTGTGTGTGTGTGTGTGTGTGTGTGTGTGTGTGTGTGTGTGTGTGTGTGTGTGTGTGTGTGTGTGTGTGTGTGAGTGTGTGTGTGAGTGTGTGTGTGTGTGTGTGTGTGTGTGTGTGTGTGTGTGCGTGTGTGTGTGTGGTGTGTTGTGTGTGTGCGTGTGTCGTGTGTGTGTGTGTGTGTTGTGTGTGGTGTGTGTGTGTGTGTGTGTGTGTGTGTGTGTCGCTCACCATCATAACTTATAATATTTGTTATGGTGTTTTTGGTCTGTGGCTGGTGTTAGTGTTAGCTGTGTCTGATCTGTGGCTGGTGTTAGTGTTAGCTGTGTGATCCGTGGCTGGTGTTAGTGTTAGCTGTGTCTGGTCTGTGGCTGGTGTTAGTGTTAGCTGTGTCTGATCCGTGGCTGGTGTTAGTGTTAGCTGTGTCTGGTCTGTGGCTGGTGTTAGTGTTAGCTGTGACTGATCTGTGGCTGCTGTTAGTGTTACCTGTGACTGAGCTGTGACTGATCTGTGGCTGGTGTCAGTGTTAGCTGTGACTGATCTGTGGCTGGTGTTAGTGTTAGCTGTGACTGATCTGTGGCTGGTGTTAGTGTTACCTGTGACTGATCTATGGCTGGTGTTAGTGTTAGTTGTGACTGATCTGTGGCTGGTGTCAGTGTTAGCTGTGACTGATTTGTGGCTCATGTTGGCTGTGATTGATCTGTGGCTGGTGTTGGCTGTGATTGATCTGTGACTGGTGTTGGCTTTGATTGATCTGTGGCTGGTGTTGGCTGTGATTGATCTGTGGCTGGTGTTGGCTGTGATTGATCTGCGGCTGGTGTTGGCTGTGATTGATATGTGGCTGTTGTTGACTGTGATTGATCTGTGGCTGGTGTTGGCTGTAATTGATCTGTGGCTGATGTTGGCTGTAATTGATCTGTGGCTGGTGTTGGCTGTGATTGATATGTGGCTGGTGTTGACTGTGATTGATCTGTGGCTGGTGTTGGCTGTGATTGATCTGTGGCTGATGTTGGCTGTAATTGATCTGTGGCTGGTGTTGGCTGTGATTGATCTGTGGCTGGTGTTGGTTGTGATTTATCTGTGGCTGGCGTTGACTGTGATTGATCTGTGGCTGGTGTTGGCTGTGATTGATCTGTGGCTGATGTTGGCTGTAATTGATCTGTGGCTGGTGTTGGCTGTGATTGATCTGTGGTTGATGTTGACTGTGATTGATCTGTGGCTGGTGTTGGCTATGATTGATCTGTGGCTGATGGTGGCTGTGATTGATCTGTGGCTGGTGTTGGCTGTGATTAATCTGTGGCTGGTGTTGGCTGTGATTGATCTGTGGCTGGTGTTGACTGTGATTGATCTGTGGCTGATGTTGGCTGTGATTGATCTGTGGCTGGTGTTAGCTGTGATTGATCTGTGGCTGGTGTTGGCTGTGATTGATCAGTGGCTGATGTTGGCTGTAATTGATCTGTGGCTGGTGTTGGCTGTGATTGATCTGTGGTTGATGTTGACTGTGATTGATCTGTGGCTGGTGTTGGCTGTGATTGATCTGTGGCTGATGGTGGCTGTGATTGATCTGTGGCTGGTGTTGGCTGTGATTGATCTGTGGCTGGTGTTGACTGTGATTGATCTGTGGCTGGTGTTGGCTGTGATTGATCTGTGGCTGATGTTGGCTGTGATTGATCTGTGGCTGGTGTTAGGTGTGATTGATCTGTGGCTGGTGTTGGTTGTGATTTATCTGTGGCTGGTGTTGGCTGTGATTGATCTGTGGCTGGTGTTGGCTGTGATTGATCAGTGGCTGGTGTTGGCTGTGATTGATCTGTGGCTGGTGTTGACTGTGATTGATCTGTGGCTGGTGTTGGCTGTGATTGATCTGTGGCTGATGTTGGCTGTAATTGATCTGTGGCCGGTGTTGGCTGTGATTGATCTGTGGCTGGTGTTGGCTGTGATTGATCTGTGGCTGGTGTTGACTGTGATTGATCTGTGGCTGGTGTTGGCTGTGATTGATCTGTGGGTGATGTTGGCTGTAACTGATCTGTGGCTGGTGTTGGCTGTGATTGATCTGTGGCTGGTGTTGACTGTGATTGATCAGTGGCTGGTGTTGGCTGTGATTGATCTGTGGCTGGTGTTGGCTGTAATTGATCTGTGGCTGGTGTTGGCTGTGATTGATCAGTGGCTGGTGTTGGCTGTAATTGATCTGTGGCTGGTGTTGCTGTGAATTTATCAGTGGCTGATGTTGGCTGTGATTGATCTGTGGCTGATGTTGGCTGTGATTGATCTGTGGCTGATGTTGGCTGTGATTGATCTGTGGCTGATGTTGACTGTGATTGATCAGTGGCTGATGTTGGCTGTGATTGATCTGTGGCTGATGTTGGCTGTGATTGATCTGTGGCTGGTGTTGGCTGTGATTTGATCTGTGGCTCATGTTGGTTGTAATTGATCTGTGGCTGGTGTTGACTGTGATTGATCAGTGGCTGATGTTGGCTGTGACTGATCTGTGGCTGATGTTGGCTGTGATTGATCTGTGGCTGGTGTTGGCTGTGATTGATATGTGGCTGGTGTTGGCTGTGATTGATCTGTGGCTGATGTTGGCTGTGATTGACCAGTGGCTGATGTTGGCTGTGATTGATCTGTGGCTGGTGTTGACTGTGATTGATCAGTGGCTGATGTTGGCTGTGACTGATCTGTGGCTGATGTTGGCTGTAATTGATCTGTGGCTGGTGTTGGCTGTGATTGATATGTGGCTGGTGTTGGCTGTGATTGATCTGTGGCTGATATTGGCTGTGATTGATCTGTGGCTGATGTTGGCTGTGATTGATCTGTGGCTGATGTTGGCTGTGATTGATATGTGGCTGGTGTTGGCTGTGGTTGATCAGTGGCTGATGTTGGCTGTGATTGATCTGTGGCTGATGTTGGCTGTGATTTTTCTCTGGCTGATGTTGGCTGTGATTAATCTGTGGCTGATGTTGGCTGTGATTGATATGTGGCTGGTGTTGGCTGTGGTTGATCAGTGGCTGATGTTGGCTGTGATTGATCTGTGGCTGGTGTTGGCTGTGGTTGATCTGTGGCTGGTGTTGGCTGTGGTTGATCTGTGGCTGGTGTTGGCTGTGATTGATCTGTGGCTGGTGTTGGCTGTGATTGATCTGTGGCTGGTGTTGGCTGTGGTTGATCAGTGGCTGGTGTTGGCTGTGGTTGATCAGTGGCTGGTGTTGGCTGTGGTTGATCAGTGGCTGATGTTGGCTGTAATTGATCTGTGGCTGGTGTTGGCTGTGGTTGATCTGTGGCTGGTGTTGGCTGTGGTTGATCAGTGGCTGATGTTGGCTGTAATTGATCTGTGGCTGGTGTTGGCTGTGGTTGATCTGTGGCTGGTGTTGGCTGTGGTTGATCTGTGGCTGGTGTTGGCTGTGGTTGATCTGTGGCTGGTGTTGGCTGTGGTTGATCTGTGGCTGGTGTTGGCTGTGGTTGATCAGTGGCTGATGTTGGCTGTAATTGATCTGTGGCTGGTGTTGGCTGTGGTTGATCTGTGGCTGATGTTGGCTGTGGTTGATCTGTGGCTGGTGTTGGCTGTGGTTGATCAGTGGCTGGTGTTGGCTGTGGTTGATCAGTGGCTGATGTTGGCTGTAATTGATCTGTGGCTGGTGTTGGCTGTGGTTGATCTGTGGCTGGTGTTGGCTGTGGTTGATCTGTGGCTGGTGTTGGCTGTGGTTGATCTGTGGCTGGTGTTGGCTGTAATTGATCTGTGGCTGGTGTTGGCTGTGGTTGATCTGTGGCTGGTGTTGGCTGTGGTTGATCTGTGGCTGGTGTTGGCTGTGGTTGATCAGTGGCTGATGTTGGCTGTAATTGATCTGTGGCTGGTGTTGGCTGTTGTTGATCTGTGGCTGATGTTGGCTGTGGTTGATCTGTGGCTGGTGTTGGCTGTGGTTGATCAGTGGCTGGTGTTGGCTGTGGTTGATCAGTGGCTGATGTTGGCTGTAATTGATCTGTGGCTGGTGTTGGCTGTGGTTGATCTGTGGCTGGTGTTGGCTGTGGTTGATCTGTGGCTGGTGTTGGCTGTGGTTGATCTGTGGCTGGTGTTGGCTGTAATTGATCTGTGGCTGGTGTTGGCTGTGGTTGATCTGTGGCTGGTGTTGGCTGTGGTTGATCTGTGGCTGGTGTTGGCTGTGGTTGATCTGTGGCTGATGTTGGCTGTGGTTGATCTGTGGCTGTCCTTTCCTTTACCCTATCTTCCTGTTTCCTCAGTTCTTGCCAGCCTATATATGCAAAACTCTTCCACGTGTGATATACCAGAGTCTGGCAGGTAGGTATAATGTTCGTCAGGAAACAGGACAAGTGTTTCCTGACGCGGGTCTTAGTCATATCATGACCCACAGCTGGAGCTTTTGCTCATCTGACCGAGGTCTTCCACTGGCTTACTGTTCCATCGCTTTAAAAATCATGGTTATGATTATAACCATCTGGCACTAATATTATTACAAGAATCTGACGCCATTTTTTTATGGGGGGAGAGGGAGGGTGTTAAGCTTGTTCTGTTAATATTATTGACTCTTGTTTGTAATTCATTTCTTATTTTTTTAATTATTTATAAATTTGTCGCTTTAGATTTTCTTCTAACATTATCCTGATAATATGTACTTGTGTTTTTTATTTATTTATGTACCTCATCAATATTCTTTTTATTATCCATCTTGATTTATCTCTTTTTTTATATTTTCTTATCGGATTAAGTTTATAAAAATTTTATATTTTCGTTTCCCCTCGAGAGAGAAAGAGGTTTCTTGACGCTGGTGAGGCTCTTGATCTGTGGAACTGGAACAGTGCTCCGGTTCCCTTATCGTAGGGGTTCTTAAAAGGAGATATCGAGGGTTGAAGGTAGACACACTGGTTGGATGGTAACGATATATTGTCAGACTGTGATGATGGGAGATGGAGCCCAGCCTCTGCCTTGTCACTGCCTAGCTGGATGTCTATGCGCCGACTGAGAGGGAGGCAGAGGTACGAACGTACACATGCGCATCCCGTGACGTCATACAGTCACTCGGCCTAAGTGGTCTTCTATATAAACACATGGATGATACTATAATGCTCAGCTAATCTATACGACACATGTAAGGGGATTCAGCAACTATGCTGACACCCTGATTTAAACCTGAATACCTTTCATCCACCCACCCGCATCCCCACGGGTTTAGCGCTCCCCCATACCTGGAGAGGGTTTCGGGGGGTTAACGCCCCCGCCGCCCGTGGTGGATCAGGGCCTGATCAACCAGGCTATTACTGCTGGCAGCACGGAAACCAAAGTTTGTTTTACCTTGTCTGTCATATCTGTGCCTTTTGTAACCTTTTAGTATTTTTGAGGATGATTAAATTCTCACTTTTGTTCTGTGATGAGTTGGCCGCGATGTCAGTAATTTAAAGTACCGGAGCTTTAGGCTTTCTCCTCCAAGAAATAATTTTTTTTTCACTGCTAAAGTTTCTCTAAGCTTAGTAGTCTGTGTGCTGTATTCAGACACTGCAGAAAATTATCTATAAATACACTATAAATTAAGATAATATTATCACCTCTTGTAATGCCAAATGTAACTTGTATAAACCATTCAGTTACATCACTCTGTAGTTCACTCTTTCTTTTCACTCAGTCACTCCATGTATACTTGGGTTGCCATGTACCTGTGGTATTTTCCCAAACCAGTATACTGAATTTCATTTTCTTCGTACAGGAGGACGTGAGGTGTCAGGGCCGCTGCAGTGTCCGCCTCCCCGCAAGAAATGCATTACCGAGAAGAAGTTCAGAGAGCCAGTGCCCTGCATCGATGATTCTTCCTGTAAGAATCCATGGGAGCTCTGCTGCTCGGACGCATGTGTTAGTAATTTTAAACTCTGCAAACCTGGTTACGTGATAAAATCTTTACCAATTAATGTCACGCGTGAGGGGGTTAATCAAGTAGGGCTGCCTGAAAAGAAGAATAGCACCATTAGCGACAACAACAAGAACGATACAGCTAAAAGAACAATATTAGAGACAGAGCTGCTTCCAATCAACACAACTCTGAACACCTCGATAACAGTAGCCACACCTGCAAAAGAGGATGACCAAGTTCTTACGGAGAACAGCGGCTTTATTAAGAGCAGCCAAAACAACACAACTGAAGGAATAACATCAGAAACTGATCTGTTTCTTATCAACACACTTCTCAACACCACGACCACAATAGAGGGTGACCAAGTTTCTAGGGAGGAGAAAAGCGGCTTCATCAAGAGCAACCAGAACGATACGGCTGAAAGAATAACATTAGACACATACTTGTTTCTTGCCAACGCAACTTTCAACACCTCCACAACCAAAAAAGAGGGTGACCATGATCCTAGGGAGATCAGGGACTTAATGAAAAGTAGCCAGAATAATGCATCTGAATGGATAACGTTAGAGACAAATGTTCTTATTAACACAACTCTCAACAACACAGTCATAAAAGAAGATAACCGAGTATCTAAGAAGAGCAGTGACTTTGGTAAGAGCAGCCAGAATGATACAATTGAAGGAACATTTCTAGAGACAGACCTGTTTCTTATCAGTACATTTCTCAACTCCTCCACACGTCCACCCACAAGAGAGAATGACCAAGTACCAAGACTGGAAGCAGACTTACTGATCAATACAACTAGCTTCTCCTAAACACCTACACTAGGAAGAGTATTTTTCAGTGTATATAGCCTGAAACTTTACTTTAATCCTTAGCTCTATTAAGGGTTATATTATTGTCTCTCGATCATTTATGTAAGAAATAAAATCAACCTAATTAAAAGTAACTTGTTTGGGTAAATAACCACTAGCATTGTACCATAATTGTATATTTCAGTCATCGCTGCAACCAAGTGAGGTATCTGAGACTGTACTTCAAGTAACTCTCAGTAACAACTTTTCTCAGAAGATAAACAATCTTACTGAGAAAGTGCAGTAAATTTATGAAAGATTTCTGAAGATAACAACAAAAAAAAATCCTTCAGTCGTGTTTTCTACTGAGGTTACCCCCGACACAAGCGGGTCTTTGCTGTACGACCCTTGTGGGTTTAGCGCTTTGTTATGATTATAATTATAATAAGGAATGCATTGAGACTAACAACCAAAGTATTTTGTTCCTAAAAGAAACTGGCTGAGGGTTAGACTACTGATAAGCTACAGGAAGTTGTATGGTATATACGAAGGATATATAGACCCGGAGGTGTACATCTTTCTGTGTATATACACTGAGAGTTTAATTCTGTTTCAGGTATTAGTGTATTCTTGACTAGTGAGGAAGAGGTGATGTGCAGCCTTAATGACCCTCGTGTAGTCGATAGGCTCGAAGCCTAATTATGTATATTACTATGATATTCAGGAGAAGCGCTAAATTCACTGGGTCATACACAGAAAATTAGAAGCAGTCAGGTCGATCCAAGGAAGAGGAGAATAGGTCTATTTCCTTGGATCAAGAGCCTTTATAAGCATCAAGACATCCTCCCACAGGGGATTCAAGCCTAACAAACTAAGCAATCTATTCCTTCCATCAATATCAAAATCAAAATCATAGGTTAACTGTTATTTAACATGAGTGATGATTTACACGAGAATCTCCTGGTCATGCAATGTGTCATTCATTACTAACATGGAAGATTAACTTCAAACGATTATTTCAAAAGCATTAGCAAATTTTGCATTTATTAGTGAAATATAAATTCTGTGTTGACTGTATATAACAGTTTGATGGAGACGATCGTATGTAATTTGTTTACATGATGGTGGCTCGGTGATCCGACTTTAAATAAAATAATAAATAGTTATAACTATGACCATAATTTTTAAAGGGATGGAGGGGTAAGCCATTGGAAGGCCTCGGTCAGATGACCAAAAGCTCCAGCTGTGGGTCATCTATATGACTAAGACACTTGTCCTGTTTCCTGACAAACCTGACCTTCCTGACTTTAAATTATTAATTTATCTTCAATTTTTAAAGGAGTGGAGTGGTAAGCCAGTGGAAGGCCTCGGTCAGATGACAAAAAGCTCCAACGGCGGGTCATCATCTAAGACCCGCGTCAGGACACACCTGTCCTGTTACCTAACTCTAAATTCACTTACCAGCAAATTATTGTGTTAAACCACTCCTCCGCTGGAGGAGTTCAACACCAGGCTGTGACCTCCCAGAGTTCAACACCAGGCTGTGACCTCCCAGAGTTCAACACCAGGCTGTGACCTCCCAGAGTTCAACACCAGGCTGTGACCTCCCAGAGTTCAACACCAGGCTGTGACCTCCCAGAGTTCAACACCAGGCTGTGACCTCCCAGAGTTCAACACCAGGCTGTGACCTCCCAGAGTTCAACACCAGGCTGTGACCTCCCAGAGTTCAACACCAGGCTGTGACCTCCCAGAGTTCAACACCAGGCTGTGACCTCCCAGAGTTCAACACCAGGCTGTGACCTCCCAGAGTTCAACACCAGGCTGTGACCTCCCAGAGTTCAACACCAGGCTGTGACCTCCCAGAGTTCAACACCAGGCTGTGACCTCCCAGAGTTCAACACCAGGCTGTGACCTCCCAGAGTTCAACACCAGGCTGTGACCTCCCAGAGTTCAACACCAGGCTGTGACCTCCCAGAGTTCAACACCAGGTTGTGACCTCCCAGAGTTCAACACCAGGCTGTGACCTCCCAGAGTTCAACACCAGGCTGTGACCTCCCAGAGTTCAACACCAGGCTGTGACCTCCCAGAGTTCAACACCAGGCTGTGACCTCCCAGAGTTCAACACCAGGCTGTGACCTCCCAGAGTTCAACACCAGGCTGTGACCTCCCCGAGTTCAACACCAGGCTGTGACCTCCCAGAGTTCAACACCAGGCTGTGACCTCCCAGAGTTCAACACCAGGCTGTGACCTCCCAGAGTTCAACACCAGGCTGTGACCTCCCAGAGTTCAACACCAGGCTGTGACCTCCCAGAGTTCAACACCAGGTTGTGACCTCCCAGAGTTCAACACCAGGCTGTGACCTCCCAGAGTTCAACACCAGGTTGTGACCTCCCAGAGTTCAACACCAGGCTGTGACCTCCCAGAGTTCAACACCAGGCTGTGACCTCCCAGAGTTCAACACCAGGCTGTGACCTCCCAGAGTTCAACACCAGGCTGTGACCTCCCAGAGTTCAACACCAGGCTGTGACCTCCCAGAGTTCAACACCAGGCTGTGACCTCCCAGAGTTCAACACCAGGTTGTGACCTCCCAGAGTTCAACACCAGGCTGTGACCTCCCAGAGTTCAACACCAGGCTGTGACCTCCCAGAGTTCAACACCAGGCTGTGACCTCCCAGAGTTCAACACCAGGCTGTGACCTCCCAGAGTTCAACACCAGGCTGTGACCTCCCAGAGTTCAACACCAGGCTGTGACCTCCCAGAGCTCAACACCAGGCTGTGACCTCCCAGAGTTCAACACCAGGCTGTGACCTCCCAGAGTTCAACACCAGGCTGTGACCTCCCAGAGTTCAACACCAGGCTGTGACCTCCCAGAGTTCAACACCAGGCTGTGACCTCCCAGAGTTCAACACCAGGCTGTGACCTCCCAGAGTTCAACACCAGGCTGTGACCTCCCATGTTTCTTCTCTTACACAAACTTTTTTCTTTCTTTCCCAAACAAATTCTTTTAATCCGATACTGATGTTAAAACGGTTACCCTTTTTATTCGTGTTTGAGAAGAAGTCACGTAGTGTTATAGAGTGGAGGTCGCTTATAACTGACCTGGTTTTCAACAAACCTTTAAATCATTCAATAGTTTGATAAACCCATTCCAACAGTGTACCATCTTTTTTTTGTAAATAAATTATTTTTAGGATCTTCTCAGCAACTTTTCATTAATTTACACTTGTAGTTTTTATTTTTCCAGGGAAGGATTATCAAATTTCCCGACATTTGTTTGATCCTGTCTTCTTGTGATCTTATTTGGGGTTATGTTTGTGTGGTCTTACTCACCGACCTGTACTCACTGAGTTGCACTCGTCACCGTCCTGTACTCACTGAGTTGCACTCGTCACCGACCTGTACTCACTGAGTTGCACTCGTCACCGACCTGTACTCACTGAGTTGCACTCGTCACCGACCTGTACTCACTGAGTTGCACTTGTCACCGACCTGTACTCACTGAGCTGCACTCGTCACCGACCTGTACTCACTGAGTTGCACTCGTCACCGACCTGTACTCACTGAGTTGCACTCGTCACCGACCTGTACTCACTGAGTTGCACTCGTCACCGACCTGTACTCACTGAGTTGCACTCGTCCCCGACCTGTACTCACTGAGTTGCACTTGTCACCGACCTGTACTCACTGAGTTGCACTCGTCACCGACCTGTACTCACTGAGTTGCACTCGTCACCGACCTGTACTCACTGAGTTGCACTCGTCACCGACCTGTACTCACTGAGTTGCACTCGTCACCGACCTGTACTCACTGAGTTGCACTCGTCACCGACCTGTACTCACTGAGTTGCACTCGTCACCGACCTGTACTCACTGAGTTGCACTCGTCACCGACCTGTACTCACTGAGTTGCACTCGTCACCGACCTGTACTCACTGAGTTGCACTCGTCACCGACCTGTACTCACTGAGTTGCACTCGTCACCGACCTGTACTCACTGAGTTGCAGTCGTCACCGACCTGTACTCACTGAGTTGCACTCGTCACCGACCTGTACTCACTGAGTTGCACTCGTCACCGACCTGTACTCACTGAGTTGCACTCGTCACCGACCTGTACTCACTGAGTTGCACTCGTCACCGACCTGTACTCACTGAGTTGCACTCGTCACCGACCTGTACTCACTGAGTTGCACTCGTCACCGACCTGTACTCACTGAGTTGCACTCGTCACAGACTTGTACTCACTGAGTTGCACTCGTCACCGACCTGTACTCACTGAGTTGCACTCGTCACAGACTTGTACTCACTGAGTTGCACTCGTCACCGACTTGTACTCACCGAGTTATACTCGACACTGACTTGTAGTCACTGAGTTAAACTCGCCACTGTCTTGTACTCACCGACTTGTATTCACCGACTTGTACTCGCCACTGACTTGTACTCACCGACTTGTATTCACCGACTTGTACTCGCCACTGGCTTGTACTCACCGACTTGTGTTCACCGACTTGTACTCACCGACTTATACTCGCCACTGACTTGTACTCACCGACTTGTATTCACCGACTTGTACTCACCGATTTATACTCGCCACTGACTTGTATTCACTGAGTTGTACTCGCCAATGACTTGTACTGAGTTATACTCGCCACTGACTTGTACTCACTGAGTTATACTCGCCATCGACTTGTACTCACCGACTTGTACTCACCGATTAGTGACTGCGGGGGTCGCGACAGTTCCTGACTCAGCCTCCTATGTAGACAGGACCAAAATTAATTGGGTTCAAACCTCCCAGTCTTTATTTCCTAACCGTCTCGCCAGCACAGTAGCAGTCATAACTCAAATACAGACGTGGCTAAATATAGAGACAGTAAAAGTAGTGGAGAGGTAAAAATGATTAGCCCATCAGTCTTGAACAAACAGTTGTAAGGTGGTCAGTCGATGAGCCTGGAGAAGTGTTCGTCACCAGTCAAGAATACTTGAATAATCAAAATGAAGAATTGAAATATAAACATCACGGGGGTTATTAAGGCTACATGTCATGTTCATCACTAGTCAAAAAAAATTGGAATCCATTAAAAAGACGATCAAAGTAAATTGTCAACATAGCTTTAAGAAGAGGTGCGACAAAGATCTTCGAGCAGGGAGGGAACTTAGGAGACACCAGCGAAGAGACA